CTTGTGTGGCCATAGACCCCAGTAGTGTGGCCATAATAGACCCCAGTAGTGTGGCCATAATAGACCCCAGTAGTGTGGCCATAATAGACCCCAGTAGTGTGGCCATAATAGACCCCAGTAGTGTGGCCATAATAGACCCCAGTAGTGTGGCCCTAATAGACCCCAGTAGTGTGGCCATAATAGACCCCAGTAGTGTGGCCCTTATAGACCCCAGTAGTGTGGCCCTTATAGACCCCAGTAGTGTGGCCCCCCCAGTAGTGTGGCCCTACCATAATAGACCCAGTAGTGTGGCCCCAGTAGTGTGGCCCTTATAGACCCCGTAGTGTGGCCCTTATAGACCCCAGTAGTGTGCCCTTATAGACCCCAGTAGTGTGGCCCTTATAGACCCCAGTAGACCCCCAGTAGTGTGGCCCTAGACCCCAGTATAGACCCCAGTAGTGTGGCCCTTATAGACCCCAGTAGTGTGGCCCTAATAGACCCCAGTAGTGTGGCCATAATAGACCCCAGTAGTGTGGCCCTACTAGACCCCAGTAGTGTGGCCCTACTAGACCCCAGTAGTGTGGCCCTACTAGACCCCAGTAGTGTGGCCCTACTAGACCCCAGTAGTGTGGCCCTACTAGACCCCAGTAGTGTGGCCCTACTAGGCCCCTACTAGACCCCAGTAGTGTGGCCCTAGACCCCAGTAGTGTGGCCCTACTAGACCCCAGTAGTGTGGCCCTACTAGACCCCAGTAGTGTGGCCCTACTAGACCCCAGTAGTGTGGCCCTACTAGACCCCAGTAGTGTGGCCCTACTAGACCCCAGCAGTGTGGCCCTACTAGACCCCAGTAGTGTGGCCCTAGACCCCAGACCCCTAGCAGTGTGGACCCCAGCAGTGTGGCCCTACTAGACCCCAGTAGTGTGGCCCTACTAGACCCCAGTAGTGTGGCCCTACTAGACCCCAGTAGTGTGGCCCTACTAGACCCCAGTAGTGTGGCCTTCTAGACCCCAGTAGTGTGGCCCTACTAGACCCCAGTAGTGTGGCCTTCTAGACCCCAGTAGTGTGGCCCTACTAGACCCCAGTAGTGTGGCCCCAGTACTAGACCCCCTTCTAGTAGTGTGGCCCTACTAGACCCTAGTAGTGTGGCCTTCTAGACCCCAATAGTGTGGCCTTCTAGACCCTAGTAGTGTGGCCTTCTAGACCCCAGTAGTGTGGCCCTAGTAGACCCCAGTAGTGTGGCTCTACTAGACCCCAGTAGTGTGGCCCTACTAGACCCCAGTAGTGTGGCCCTACTAGACCCCAGTAGTGTGGCCCTACTAGACCCTAGTAGTGTGGCCCTACTAGACCCCAGTAGTGTGGCCCTGCTAGACCCCAGTAGTGTGGCTAGACCCCACTAGACCCAGTAGTGTGGCCCTACTAGACCCCAGTAGTGTGGCCCTACTAGACCCCAGTAGTGTGGCCCTCTACTAGTGTGGCCCTACTAGACCCAGTAGTGTGGCCCTACTAGACCCCAGTAGTGTGGCCCTACTAGACCCCAGTAGTGTGGCTCTGCTAGGCCCCAGTAGTAGTCGGTTTAAACATGTCAGGTCAACACAGCCTAAGATATACAAGGACAGTATAGTGAGCCCAACATCCAGGGGCCAGATTCACGAAGCAATAACTCTAGTACTTACGAACGTGTACATCTTTCCTCCATCGTTGACGGCTTTGGTTACAATTATTAAACAGTTTATGAGCACGAAAACTTCCTAATCAAATGTTGAAATTGTTATAAACGGCTTCCTGGTGTTTCAGAGCTCATTAACTGTTTGATAATTGTAAACAAAGCCGCCAAAGATTGAAAAAAGATGTACAGGTTCATTAGTGTTTGCGGAACTGCTTCGTGAATCTGACCCCTGGTGTGTTCTGCGTGCTTGCATGTGTGTAACTGTGGTGCTAGCAGGTGTGTACTGTGGTGCTAGCAGGTGTGTAACTGTCACTAGTTATCTGTGAGCTTCCCCTAGTGACGAGGGGTGGACGGTACCTGATAATGAGGTGCCGTGTGAGGAGAGGGTGACCTGAGCGCCTCATACACCCGGTGGCTCAGTCTGGTACAGTCTGCCTGAGTCTCGGAACTCTGCTCTTCACTGCCTGTTTCACACTGTTCATAGTGGCTACCGTGTTCTTGACACGGTACTTTTAAAGTAACTTTCAAGTCATACTCTGTTAACCCCAACATTCCCTCCACACTTACTGTGTCTACCTCAAACTTGGGTAAATTACAACAAAAGTATAAATTTCTCTTTATTGATACTCGTTCATATATGAAATATATTTACATGATATTTACAATTGACTGCAAAACTTTACAAATTATCATCACTCCATCAGGTTACAATAGACACTATAACAATTTACAATAAGGGTCACATATAATATAAAACCTATTAGCAGTGCCGGATACAGAGGCCACTTGCCTATTGTGTCCCAATATAAATCTATTACAAGACTAATGAGCAAAATATTAACCAGATTTTCTTGGAACAATTTCTTTGTGCTTGGGACAACTGGAACAAAACCTTTTACTACCAAAAAGGGGGCCTCGTAGCCTGGTGGATAGCGCGCAGGACTCGTAATTCTGTGGCGCGGGTTCGATTCCCGCACGAGGCAGAAACAAATGGGCAAAGTTTCTTTCACCCTGAATGCCCCTGTTACCTAGCAGTAAATAGGTACCTGGGAGTTAGTCAGCTGTCACGGGCTGCTTCCTGGGGGTGGAGGCCTGGTCGAGGACCGGGCCGCGGGGACACTAAAGCCCCGAAATCATCTCAAGATAACCTCAAGATACCAACATTCAACATAAACCAAACAATTTGATAGCGAAGGTCTAAGGTCTTTTCTTTCATAATAATTTTATTTTACAATTAAAGTTACAAGAACAATTAAATCCTAATTATTAACTAATTTAAGTGAGCAAATATCCACACACAATATATCTCCACACATTGCTGTAGTTAATAAACAAGGTGATGTTCCCTAACATTATACACCAATACATTGTTTATTGAATTAGTAATACAGGAATAATACTGTAACTTAGTCACCAATACAGTTACAACACCAATTACAAACATTATACACACAACCCGTGTATATTACGTCATATCAGACACACTGGAGCTTGCAACATACAACTTTATACACTTGCAACATACACCTGTATACACTTGCAACATACACCTGTATACACTTGCAACATACACCTGTATACACTTGCAACATACACACTGATGACATGGACACACTTTAAGAGGAAAGAATGCACTCAAGAACCCTAAGTTTAGTGACATAGTTTAATTGGTAGCGAAGCCTTACATCACTAGGGAGAGTAGAGTCGACTAGCATAAGATCACCAGCGTCACGGTGACACGTGCCCCAGTAACGTAGGCAGCACGTGCCCCAGTAACGTAGGCAGCACGTGCCGGAGTAACGTAGGCAGCACGTGCCGGAGTAACGGAGGCAGCACGTGCCGGAGTAACGTAGGCAGCACGTGCCCCAGTAACGGAGGCTGCACGTGCCGGAGTAACGTAGGCAGCACGTGCTGGAGTAACGGAGGCAGCACGTGCCTGAGTAACGGAGGCGTCACGTGCGTGAGTAACAATGGTTTCAATATCATTTACATATATACACACACATTAGTCACAGTAACTTTTGTCTTGCTAATGTACATTAGTTTAACAACGAGTATTCTCTTTTGCCAGAGCACCGAGGCTGTGGGAGCAGCCGCACACACCCAGAGCCACCGTGGGTGAGGCTGAGGGAGCCACCGTGGGCGAGGCTGAGGGAGCCACCGTGGGTGAGGCTGAGGGAGCCACCGTGGGCGAGGCTGAGGGAGCCACCGTGGGTGAGGCTGAGGGAGCCATCGTGGGTGAGGGAGGTACCATAGGTGAGGCTGTGGGAGGCACCGTGGTGAGGCTGAGGGAGCCACCGTGGGTGAGGCTGAGGGAGCCACCGTGGGTGAGGCTGAGGGAGCCACCGTGGGTGAGGCTGAGGGAGCCATCGTGGGTGAGGGAGGTACCATAGGTGAGGCTGAGGGAGCCACCGTGGGTGAGGCTGAGGGAGCCACCGTGGGTGAGGCTGAGGGAGCCACCGTGGGTGAGGCTGAGGGAGCCACCGTGGGTGAGGCTGAGGGAGCCACCGTGGGTGAGGCTGAGGGAGCCACCGTGGGTGAAGCTGAGGGAGCCACCGTGGGTGAGGCTGAGGGAGCCACCGTGGGTGAGGCTGAGGGAGCCACCGTGGGTGAAGGCTGAGGGAGCCACCGTGGGTGAGGCTGAGGGAGCCACCGTGGGTGAGGCTGAGGGAGCCACCGTGGGTGAGGCTGAGGGAGCCACCGTGGGTGAGGCTGAGGGAGCCACCGTGGGTGAGGCTGAGGGAGCCACCGTGGGTGAGGCTGAGGGAGCCACCGTGGGCGAGGCTGAGGGAGCCACCGTGGGTAAAGCTGAGGGAGCCACCGTGGGTAAGGCTGAGGGAGCCACCGTGGGTAAGGCTGAGGGAGCCATCGTGGGCGAGGCTGAGGGAGCCATCGTGGGCGAGGCTGAGGGAGCCACCGTGGGTAAAGCTGAGGGAGCCACCGTGGGTAAGGCTGAGGGAGCCACCGTGGGTAAGGCTGAGGGAGCCACCGTGGGTGAGGCTGAGGGAGCCATCGTGGGCGAGGCTGAGGGAGCCACCGTGGGCGAGGCTGAGGGAGCCACCGTGGGCGAGGCTGAGGGAGCCACCGTGGGTGAGGCTGAGGGAGCCACCGTGGGTAAGGCTGAGGGAGCCACCGTGGGCGAGGCTGAGGGAGCCACCGTGGGTAAGGCTGAGGGAGCCACCGTGGGTAGGCTGAGGGAGCCACCGTGGGCGAGGCTGAGGGAGCCACCGTGGGTAAGGCTGAGGGAGCCACCGTGGGCGAGGCTGAGGGAGCCACCGTGGGCTGAGGCTGAGGGAGCCACCGTGGGCGAGGCTGAGGGAGCCACCGTGGGCGAGGCTGAGGGAGCCACCGTGGGTGAGCGAGACGCACTAGAAAGCGTCGACTGTGGTGCGGGAGGCGGTGGAGGTGAGGTGCGTGGCGGAGGTATGGGAAGCGTGTGAAAGCTGAGAGTCGTGAGAGTCGCGGGATTCGAGCCCCTGCCTGCTGGAGGAGGGACTCCTGGCCACCCAGGGGGCGCAGCTGCGCGCCAGCACCACACGCCTCCAGCACCCTCCTGCCGCCACGCGCCACACCTTCCGCGTACACGTGAAGGCAAGGAAGATGAAGACGCCTTGCAGTGTGTTCAGCAGCACGAACACGTACCAGATGGGCTCCAGCTGCAGGTAGCCCGCTACGATGCCGCTGATCCAAGTCAGACCCATCAGCAGCGCCAGACGCATGTACAGCTTGAACTGGCTCTGGTGCGGCGAACATGAGGTCATTTTCGCGGTTGACTGTGTTGTTTCGGCGATTATTCCTGCAGAGAAGATGAAGAACACTAAATTGACCAACATTATTGTCACCAGTGGAGCCGCAAAGAACACCAGAAGAGCTTTACGTTGTCCAAACCAACACCAACGTTCTCCCAGGGTGGGGAAGTAGTGTTGAGGGAGGCCGTCAGGGCGCACCAGGTCGAGGGTCACCAGCACAGAGAGAGCAGCAGCGGGCAGTAGCCACCCGTGGATGCAGTATAATATAAACTTGCTCCACTGTCCACCTACAGTTACTCGAAGCTCTGACGTTGCTAACTTCAGCGTCCTCCAGATGTCGAATGCCATCACGTTCATCCAGCAGAAGGATGAGAGGAAGAAGTAGTACATGGCGGCTGCCAGGATGAAGCACTCTCTCTTGCCTGGTTCCCCAAATACACTCAGTATGAAGGTAGTGTATGCGGCTAGGAGAACTAGGCAAAGAGAAGCCAGGTTCTTTCCAGACAGGTTTCTTAGATCTGGAACGATCAAAAATGCAATCAAGTGCAATAGAAGGCACACACAGGAGAGGCCGAGTCCGGCCAGCGACACCCAGCCCATCATGCGAGAGAACTTGTCTGTTTCTGGCTGGATGATGCAGATGAGAATGCCGCCTTCCGTTTGTTCATACTCGTGAGGCTGGTAGGTCCGACGGTACTTCTCAACCACCACAGTACCGTTGGCACTCATCGTGAACTCGTCAGCAGGCAGCAGGAACCTCTCGCACGTCAGCGTTTGGGCTCTCTCTCTGCTCGTGTTTGTGGAACCCGTCAACACTTCCTTGATTATTGTCACAACTGTTGTGTTCAGGGAGACTGTTGTAGCCATGTCTGAAGGCTCAACGGTGGTTAGGGATATGTCTTCCAGGCCAGCTTTCTCTGTGCTGGTATTCAGTGGCTTGGTCGTTGGAGACGTAGCACTTGAGGTGGTTGTGGACGAGCTTGTAGTTGTGGTGGTTGTGGATGAGGTTGTAGTTGCAGTGGTTGTTGACGAGCTTGTCGAGACCTCGTCCCCAGCTGGGTCACTGGCGACACCGATGTCAATACAACGACCGAACCTGTATTCTTGGTTAGCTTTACCACACACCACATTCCTACACTTCTTAAAGAACGGGTCAAACACTTCCCCCGGCCTGCACACAGAGGTGGACCCCACCACGTTGCCGCCACTCGTGTCTACAAAGTCAAACAGCAGAGAAAATGCACTTGGATTAAACTCGTCGCCGAAATAAAATCTTGTCAATATCCTATAGAAGCAAGTGTAGTTTTTGGGTACATAGTTGCACACAGCGCAGTGAGGGTTTCTATAGACATGTTCGAAATTGTACACCACAGCGGTGTACGAATGGCAGAGGTTTTCTACATCTGTATCCGTCCAATTAGAGGCACAGGTCTTGGTCATCTTCTTGCAAGGCCTCACTAAATGTAGAACAGTTTCCGGCAACACAGGGTCTATGAAGCAGGTGTGGAAGACCTCAACTCCATTGTCATCAATATAGAGTCCCCAGTTTTCGTCATTGAAGATCAGATTAGACGAGACATACTCCATCGTCAGATTCCTGAAGCGGGAGTGGTAACTGGCGAGAGTGGGACACTCCAGACGCGGCTTCCACATCTCCAGGGAGCTGGAGTCCTTGTTGCAGACGGCGCAGTAGAAGTTGGTGTAGGTGACGGCAGAGTCGAGGCTGGTCACAGGTAGGTCAACCAGGGGGTCTCTGCGATCCGAGCTGGAGTCTGGAGTGCCACTCGAACACAACATTGCAATTTCCAGGTCCTCCCAGCCCGCCATGCAAGTCCCTCGCATGTACAGGTCGCCAAACTGCTTCAGGTGCACGCACTCATAGTGGCCTGGCCTCTTCTGCTGGTCGACATTGTACGCGTGGGCGTCCAGGCAACAGTCGCCATATTCACCACAAAGATCATCACAAAAACAGTTCCTTTCCTTCCAGTCATTTGAGTCGCCCACGCGGGGGCCCTTGTCAACAATACAAGTGTCTTTGGGCGCACATGTCGCGTTAATAGCCACTAAATCCGAGTACTCAAAGCCTGCACACAGTCCTATGAGGCACGTCACCATTACTAGAAGCATTAACTTTTCTGCCATGTTTGTTAAGTTTCTGTCACTGCACGCGGTACAGTTAGCGAAACACACACATTCACAACAGGAGAGGATGCGCGGAGCTGCGTTGTACACGTCCTCCCAGCGAGCCAGCTGCGCCTCTACTGATTCTTGCCGAAATTGTTAACCCACGTGTAGTCTGGCGCCTCACTAGGCTCCTCCCACTTCTGATTGCCACATGTGTTTAGGTTTCATCATCATTCGTAATAAATTCCTCTGCGTTTCAATACAAAATTAAATATCCTACTTAGCACGGTTCCATCACGTTCCACAATTTCATTAATGCAATATAATGCAGCTCTATCTGCAGAAAATAAATCAAAAGCACCATTCACGTAGCCTCCGTTAGTGACGTCAGGTTCATTGAGCCAATGAGAGCAGAGGAAAGGATGACGTCAGAAGAAAGGACCAATCACGGCGTCGGGTTTCGGGTCTCTGAAGACGCGGTTGACAGCTTCTGTGGAAGGAAAAGAAAGTTTCCAATGATGTTGGTTCTCCACGTTATCGTACTGCCTTATCTCTTAACATTCCAATAACAGAAAAATAATTCTAAGCAGAGCCTTTGACTGACGGCTTACAGTTCATATGAAGAGCAAATATAGGCTTAAAAAGAGGCCAGAAATGAGGCCTACACACACACACACACACACACACACACACACACACACACACACACACACACACACACACACACACACACACACACACACACACACACAAAACGCTAACCAAAGGGAACATGTCATGAGGATTTCCATAATGTTTCAGACAAAATATCTGTGAACATAAGCAGGGAATTTCAGCAGAAAATTGTTATATTATTGAGGCGAGGAACTGTGGTGAGAGCTCTGCGGCGCTGGACAATACTCACCATATTGTCCGCGGCGGCCCACCTCGGCGCTCTTGTACACACTATACACACACAGTGGTGTATGGATGTATATTCTCACATGTTATGTGCACACTAGCGTATTAGCGTGCACATGTGTACACGCTAATACGCCAGTGTGCACCTGTGTGCAAACATACATACATACGTCTGTTTAAGAGCCCCTCAAAGAGGCGTACGAGTTAAGCCCTCTTAACAGGCGTACGCGTTGAGCCCTCTTAACAGGCGTACGCGTTGAGCCCTCTTAACAGGCGTACGCGTTGTGCCCTCTTAACAGGCGTACGCGTTGAGCCCTCTTAACAGGCGTACGCGTTGAGCCCTCTTAACAGGCGTACGCGTTGAGCCCTCTTAACAGGCGTACGCGTTGAGCCCTCTTAACAGGCGTACGCGTTAAGCCCTCTTAACAGGCGTACACGTTAAGCCCTCTTAACAGGCGTACACGTTAAGCCCTCTTAACAGGCGTACACGTTAAGCCCTCTTAACAGGCGTACACGTTAAGCCCTCTTAACAGGCGTACACGTTAAGCCCTCTTAACAGGCGTACACGTTAAGCCCTCTTAACAGGCGTACACGTTAAGCCCTCTTAACAGGCGTACACGTTAAGCCCTCTTAACAGGCGTACACGTTAAGCCCTCTTAACAGGCGTACACGTTAAGCGCTCCGTCCGGCAGCCCAACGTTTCACATGTATTAGTGAGGGAGCAGGGAACAGCGCCTTCCATGTGCGACAGTACGCCACACACAAATATTTTATCTATAAGAGAAAGGATGTAGTTTCCGTATGTATTACAAAGTTACTAACTATGCGCGGTGTAGTCACGTGGCAGACCTATCCTCCAGTATCTATAGTCATCCACACTGGGGCTCACAAAATTATATAATCAATTCTTTAGATTCAGTTAAATTTTCAGTAATAGGATTGATCTTGTCCGCCGATCACTGGACCTTGGGCGTCCGCGATGTGGTGGTCACCCCGACGGCTCCTTCAGTCCCCCACCACCACCTTGTATTGAAATTAGGCGAAGGGAGCAGGAGGCTGAACACAAGATACCACCTGGGAGGTGAAATCCTGCAAGTGTCACATCTGGGGGAGTTGATATCACACCGAACCTGTCCCCAGAGGCCCACATCAAAAGGATATCATCAGCGGCATATGCTAGACTAGCCAACATAAGAACTGCCTTTAGAAACTTGTGTAAGGAATCGTTCAGGACCCTGTATACGACTTATGTCAGCCCAATCCTGGAATATGCAGCGCCAGCCTGGAGTCCATACCTAGTTAAACACAAGACAAAGTTAGAGAAGATTCAGCTATATGCCACCAGGCTCGTCCCGGAACTGGGAGGTATGAGCTACGAGGAATGGCTAAAGGAGCTGAACCTCACGTCCCTGGAAAACAGAAGAGTAAGGGGAGACATGATAACCACCTACAAAATTCTCAGGGGAATTGACAGGGTGGACAAAGACAAACTCTTCAGCACGGGTGGAACACGAACAAGGAGACACAGGTGGAAACTTAGTACCCAGATGAGCCACAGAGACGTTAGAAAGAACTTTTTCAGAGTCAGAGTAGTTAACAAATGGAATGCATTAGGCAGTGATGTGGTGGAGGCTGACTCCATACACAGTTTCAAATGATAGAGCCCAGTAGGCTCAGGAATCTGTACACCAGTTGATTGACAGTTGAGAGGCGGGACCAAAGACCCAAAGCTCAACCCCCGCAAGCACAATTAGGTGAGTACCTTAGATGTTTCTTACACCCACACCTCGCAAGCTTACCTGCTTGCGTCAACGCCCCGGGGTAATGCCAGTACACCACCTGCCTGCGTCAGCGCCCCGGGGTAATGCCAGTACACCACCTGCCTGCGTCAGCGCCCCGGGGTAATGCCAGTACACCACCTGCCTGCGTCAACGCCCCGGGGTAATGCCAGTACACCACCTGCTTGCGTCAGCGTCCCGGGGTAATGCCAGTACACCACCTGCCTGCGTCAGCGCCCCGGGGTAATGCCAGTACGCCACCTGCCAACGTCAGCGCCCCGGGGTAATGCCAGTACGCCACCTGCCAACGTCAGCGCCCCGGGGTGCCTCACTCAAGTGGAGGAAGTCTCAACAGAGGGAATAATTAGGGGCGGCGCGCACACTATCCCATAATGTCGCGCCCCAGATTTGGCGGGAGATTGAGATAGTGATTTTCTTTGTTGAACAAGTGTATCCCTCCCCCTCCCCCCCCCCAACACCAAAATGACAAAATATTTAGCACGGGTGGTACGTGAACAAGGGGACACGGGTGGTACGTGAACAAGGGGACACGGGTGGTACGTGAACAAGGGGACACGGGTGGTACGTGAACAAGGGGGCACAGGTGGTACGTGAACAAGGGGGCACGGGTGGTACGTGAACAAGGGGACACGGGTGGTACGTGAACAAGGGGACACGGGTGGTACGTGAACAAGGGGACACGGGTGGTACGTGAACAAGGGGACACGGGTGGTACGTGAACAAGGGGACACGGGTGGTACGTGAACAAGGGGACACAGGTGGAAACTGAGAACGCAAATGAGCCACAGGGACGTTAGAAAGATCTTTTTCAGTGTCAGCGTAGTGAACAGGTGGAATGCATTAGGCAGTGATGTGGTGGAGGCAGACTCCATACACAGTTTCAAACGTAGATATGATAGAGCCCAGTAGGCTCACGAATCTGTACACCAGTTGATTGACAGTTGAGAGGCGGGACCAAAGAGCCAGAGCTCAACCCTCGCAGGTACAACTAGGCGAGTACTTGGGGGGCCTGAGTGGAGAGTCCATACCACCAGCGGGAGACACTGAGTGGAGGACTCAGAGAAGATGAGGGGCTCCGGCGCGGGCGCGCTGGTCACCCAGGCTCCCAAATCTACACAATAATTACGGCCAGGATTGTGTCCGGCCCTTTGTTCCAGCGCTGGTTAATGTTGGGGTGAGATCCGGCGCGCTCCGGATGCCCCCCCCCCCCCCGTGGGTCGCACCTGCTGGAACACAGTGTTGGCAACACTACCCCCCCCCCGTGGGTCGCACCTGCTGGAACACAGTGTTGGCAACACTACCCCCCCCCCGTGGGTCGCACCTGCTGGAACACAGTGTTGGCAACACTACCCCCCCCCGTGGGTCGCACCTGCTGGAACACAGTGTTGGCAACACTACCCCCCCCCCCCGTGGGTCGCACCTGCAGGAACACAGTGTTGGCAACACTAACCCCCCCCCCCCCGTGGGTCGCACCTGCTGGAACACAGTGTTGGCAACACTACCCCCCCCCCCGTGGGTCGCACCTGCTGGAACACAGTGTTGGCAACACTAACCCCCCCCCCCCCGTGGGTCGCACCTGCAGGAACACAGTGTTGGCAACACTAACCCCCCCCCCCGTGGGTCGCACCTGCAGGAACACAGTGTTGGCAACACTAACCCCCCCCCCCGTGGGTCGCACCTGCAGGAACACAGTGTTGGCAACACTAACCCCCCCCCCCGTGGGTCGCACCTGCAGGAACACAGTGTTGGCAACACTAACCCCCCCCCCCCCCGTGGGTCGCACCTGCTGGAACACAGTGTTGGCAACACTAACCCCCCCCCCCCGTGGGTCGCACCTGCTGGAACACAGTGTTGGCAACACTAACCCCCCCCCGTGGGTCGCACCTGCAGGAACACAGTGTTGGCAACACTAACCCCCCCCCCCCGTGGGTCGCACCTGGGTCGCACCTGCAGGAACACAGTGTTGGCAACACTACCCCCCCCCCCCCGCACCTGCTGGGTCGCACCTGCTGGAACACAGTGTTGGCAACACTAACCCCCCCCCCCCGTGGGTCGCACCTGCTGGAACACAGTGTTGGCAACACTAACCCCCCCCCCCGTGGGGTCGCATGCTGGAACACAGTGTTGGCAACACTAACCCCCCCCCCCCGGCAACACTAACCCCCCCCCCCCCCCCGTGGGTCGCACCTGCTGGAACACAGTGTTGGCAACACTACCCCCCCCCCCCATCACCCCAACTCTGACACAAACAACCACTAGAGTTTTCTAGATGAAGACTTATAACAATTAGTTAAAAAGTCGCTACCAAAGCATTTGCCCTTTTGTTCTACTCTAGGTCCTCGAGGTCCTCGCCCGTCGAGGTTCTACTCGTCCACGACGGGCTGGCTGTAAGACACCTGTGTTATCAGACGACAGATGTCCAGACGACGAGTCACGACGGGCTGGAGACGTGACGACCAAGCCACACACTACAAGACGGAGAAACGACGACGTTTCGCTCCGTCCTGGACCATTGTCAAGCCGTGTGGTGGAACACTGACTTTCCGCTCCGTCCTGGACCATTGTCAAGCCGTGTGGTGGAACACTGACTTTCCGCTCCGTCCTGGACCATTGTCAAGCCGTGTGGTGGAACACTGACTTTCCGCTCCGTCCTGGACCATTGTCAAGCCGTGTGGTGGAACACTGACTTTCCGCTCCGTCCTGGACCATTGTCAAGCAGTGTGGTGGAACACTGACTTTCCGCTCCGTCCTGGACCATTGTCAAGCCGTGTGGTGGAACACTGACTTTCCG